ACCACGATTGAAAATAATTAGGAAATAATGTAATTAGGATGAATTAGTGAAGATTAGGAGGAATCTTCCCACTAAAATCCAAACTAATTTTAATCATTGTGGTTGATGTAAGTAATTGGCATTAGTTAATCTCTATGTCACTGGGAAATTCAACCATGACGGTTTTGGCAAAAGATGGTTGTCAAATGGATCAGTCCAAACATGCTTTCACACAATGCTATGTTTTGGTTTAAACATTCATTTCACATTCACAATGCATGGAACAAAAACAAAGAATTAGTCAACCGCTTATTACTCTTTCTATTGTTTGACCAACAAAGACTACAGAACTTCTTACCTCACAATTAAAAAAAATGTCCAAATTTATTTACCAGGTTCCATGGAACGAAAAATCTTCATTTTCTCAATGCAAAAAGTGGTAGAATGGAAATATGTTAGAATTTTCTTTTGCTTGATGTAATTTTTTTTTCTTTGATATTAAAATATGATGTGGATGTGTGACTTACCTAATATATATTTTTATTTTTACGCAAATCTAATTTTATCAAGTGATCAAATTTAGATTATAAGTTATAAGGCGTGATATTACGTGAAAATGGATTTGAAAATCGATTGTTTATTATTACTATTATTATTATTTATATTTATTGATATATATATTTATTGATATATATATATATATATATATATATATATATGAACCCAACAAACATTATAATAAGTTATTTCAACTCATAATTATATATATGGAATTAATTTTACCTCAATCCATAATTATTTATATGTATATGGAATCGGTTCTCACTTGCAAAACACATCATGTATGTCATATTTAACCTTACACCATACATTGTTAATGTAAATAATTGATTTCCATATTCTAAAATTGGTTTCCTCCATTCATGGAATCAGTTCTCATCCCATGAAATCGATTAGGTCATCCTAGAATTGATTCTCATCTCACACAAAGCACTCCAAATGTCATTGATAGTTTAATATAATGTGTTTTGTGCACAGTATATTAATATGAATTTCTTTATTTGTGCAAGGATTTAAATCTCTATCGATCCAACATTTATTCTCTCATAAATATCTTCAAATCCAATGGAACAAACACGCACATATACGTGCATGTACATTTTATCTTAAATGTATGATATGAAATATCAATAATGTATGTTGCTTGTGTTGTGAATGATGAATGATTGAGGAACAATGTTGTTGTATGTTTTTGTATGACAAGCTAAATTGTATGGAATAATTTGATGAAAATATTAGATGGATTCATGATTGAAAAGTTATCTTAGGACTTGATGTATTAGATGGATTCATGATTGAAAAGTTATCTTAGGACTTGATGTATTAGATGGAATTCCAATGAGGAATATCCTTGTGAAATTGTGTTTTTTTAGTGTATGCATTATTGTGGGAATCCAAGGTTAGATGTTATCTTGATACTCTAATAGACTTGTGTAGAGTATAATTGATTATGTAGTGAGAGTAGTATGAGGTCCTGGTCAAGGGTTTTACCTTAACCCAAGATGTGAATGAGATTAACTCTGTGTGTGGTAGGGTGAAATTCATTGACAATGACTCTGCAAAATAGTAGAGGTCACCATAAGTTCAAAACCTCCTACGATTCGATACTAATGTCTGTAACCAAATAATTAAGTTTAGACAGGCCCTTTGATGATTTTTATATATTATGTGTTATTCTATGTGAAAATGGATAATGTATATTGTGGATCAAAGTATTATCTATGTGTTTTTTTACAAATTACGCTATTTGTTGATGTATATACCATCAAGTTTTAGTGTATTTCATGCTCTTGCTATGTATTGAGAGTATTAAGGACATTATACAAATTTCTATTGTGGAAAAAGTTTTTTTTGCAAAGACTATGATCATGCTAACTTGTATGTTTATGTATGTTGTTTTCTCATATAGATATATTTAAAGGTTTACCCTCATACCTTAATGTATGATATCAAAAGATAGGAAATTTCTTTATTTTAGGATGTTATAATTTTTAGTATCATAAGAGTTCATCTTTAGAATGACCTAAAATTTATGGATTTATCGTGTGTGACGTGTTTAAGTGTTTAAGTTTTGATTATAAATATAGTTATCAAACTAGGAGTATTAAGAAATAAATAATCTCAATGGAGTGACGAGAATGCACACTCATGACTACAACAAAGATGTTTTTCTCTCTTAGTTTTAAACATTTAGGGGAAGATAGTGGTAAAAAAAAGGTAGTGATATAATGTTTATGTAAGAGAATGTGTTGTTACAGGTAGATCGATCACATTGATCGTTGACATAAAAGATGATCGATCGGTAGACATCTAGCATAATTAACCAATCTAAAAGTAGCTTAACACAAATAAGCTAAATGTACTATATAGGATCCGTCGACAAGAGACTGAACAAAGACGATCGATCAAAGACGTGAGGACAGTAGATCGGCCATCTGGACGAAAGTGTCAGTCGGCCTGGTAGGCACACTTAAGGGCATTAATGGATAATTAATGTGAGTAATTATCGTATCATATGCATATATATTACATTTATGAATGATTGGCAGTGTATATTTATACTGCATTAATGGACATTCAATGGGCTGGACAATTGCAAAGCCTATAAAATGCAAGGTGAATGATAAGGTAAAGACGACTTGATCTATTATAATAAAATATAAATCTCTTTATGAAACATATCTGACGTCGGAGTGTCTTCTGTAGGTCGACAACTCGGAGAGGATTGAAGGATCAAAAGAGAATAGAGCAAATAAGGAAGACCTACCCTCAGACCAATTTAACCAAAACACTAAATAATAGCATTAAAACACGATTGAGTCATAATTAGGCCAATGATAAGTAAAAATCCATTACAAATAGTATAAATAGAAGTTCTGTGTACATTTTTAGTGGATTAAGACGATCAAAACATTCTTCACATCAAACTAATCAAAGACAAAAGTAACTCAAAGACCAAGACATAAAGGAGTTAAAAGTGGCCGACCGATATTATAAAAACATTTTGACGCTCACCATGGAGTTGAGCAAGTACTTTTTTTATTCCCATGTTAACCATAACAAACATGACGGAAAAAGTCAACTCGCAACATATCGACTTCTCGACCTCAACCTTTTTGGCTAAAACTTGACTTATCAATCTCGACATCTCGACCTCATCCTCCTGGTCTCGACCTTTTAGCCTCAACCTTTTCAACCTCATCCTCTTGGACTTAACCTATCAGCCTCAACTTCTTAATCTCGACTTCTCAATCTTGAGATATTGGTCTCATCTTCATGGTCTCAATCTGTTAGTCCCGACCTCTCAGTCTCGACCTGTTGGCCTGTTGACCTCGACTTGTCACCCTCAACTTGTTAGTCCCGACTTTTCAACTTCAACCTATCGACCTCATCCTCTCAGCTTCAACCTATCGACCTCGACTTGTTAGTTTCAAACTCTCAGCCTCGACTTCTCAACCTCGATCTTTCGCTCTTGACCTATTGGCCTTGACTTATCAATCTTGATCTGTTGGCCTTGATCTCTTAATCTCGACCCTTTTAACTTCATCCTTTCGGTCTTGACCTTTCAATCTCAACCTTCTCGACCTTTATCATCTTAATCGTGACATTTCAACCTTAATCTTTACATCTTAATTCTCAATATTGACTTCTTGACCTCATCCTCCCGATCTCAACATTTTTTTATGAAAATAAAAAATAATAAAATTATTATTATTGTTATTTTTATAATTATTATAATTATAAAATTAAATATAAATAATTTTTATGTAAATAAATTTTATTTGTTTTGTAAATATTTTTATAATTAAAATTTAATTTTAAAAAGAGTCAAATAAAAATATAATTTTGTTAAAAGAAACTATTACTTAAAAAAATTGATAAAGTAATTATTTTAATTTTAAAAAAATATTTAAATGATAAAATTGAAAAAAAAAATATAAACAAAAAATTATAATATATATATATATATATATATATATATATATATAAATATTTGTGCCCAGTTATTTCTTAATATTTTATTTTATTAAATGCTTAACGTTTTAATTTAAATTATCATCCAGTCTCTACCTGGTGGCCATATACAAATAAGATGTGCCACAACATTTTTAATTATATCTCTCAGTAACTAATTAAGTTTTTCTTTTTAAATTATATCTCTACACCTATAATAATATATAAACGATTCTCTAAACATTTGTGTTAAAATTATTTTTCTGTAATAACATGTAAATAATTTTCTCCATTTGTATATACAAATTATTATTATTTATTTACTATATAAATCTAATAATTTTGAAATAGATTAGATTTTTAGTGTTTTTAATATTTAATTTTATATAACCAAACCTCTTATTTTAACGTGAATTCGTTATATATATATATATATATATATATAATAACTAATAACCATATATAAAATATTGTACGTTTGATGTACATTTTCTATTTTATCCTTTATAATACTTTTAAGTTATAATAAAAAGTTATTAATTTAAAAAATTAAATCATAAGTAACTGTTCATATTTTTTAAATAAAGTCAAATTATAAATATTTTGAATATATCATTATATATAATTAAAACTCTTGTGGTTAAATTATTTCACTATAATATACTATATATATATATACACTAATTGACATTATTTAATAAATGAAAAAATAAATTAATTTTTCATTTATTTTGACATCTTTGAGAAAATGTTTAGGTTATTATTTGGCGGCACACGTTAAGGAGAACGCATCATCCGCACATTCTAGAGACATCTACTCACCCAAAACCCTAGCCAGCAAATCTCCTTCCCCCCTTTATAAACACTCTCTACGCCCCTTCACTCTATGTTCCTCAAGAGGCTAGGGTTTCTTTTACACTCTCAATTCATAAGATTCCAGTTTTTAGTTTTTCATCTCTGTGTGTTACATTTGATTGTTGTAGTGTGTGTCGAAATCAGATCGAATTGGACTGTGATGATTCTGTGATAAGGTCTCGTTCGTCGTAATTGGCCTCATTGGCCTTGCCGACCATCCTGCTATATCACCACCCATATTCTGAGTCCCTTCTTTGTCCATTTTTTTTCCCCATTGAATTTTATTTGATTAATGTTTCTGTCTTTGTTTTATTTTTTTTCAGTTCTTCTTCCATATTTGCTGCTATTGTGGTTAGTAGCAAGATTTGTACTCTTTGATTGGCCTATGATTAAATTATAAATAATAGACAAGCATATGTCTGAACTACTCTGTGTGGATCAAACTAATCTTCTCTATGAGGCCAACTATCAACGTTTTTTCTATAGATATTTTTCTTTATTGAGTGATTGTGTTTTTGTTCATCTTAGTTTAGGTGGTGATGTTGCAGTGAAATGTTAGTTTATGAATCCTAAATTCTCTGTTTTTATTGCCAATGATGAATGATTTAGTGAATAGTAATGGATGATATTCATGATTACGAAATCACTACTGCCTTCCTTCTGAGGCCCCTTTACTATAGTTTTCTTTTTTATTTGCATGTTTGTAATCTGTTACTGTCTTAACTTATTATTTTCCTTTTATTGAGTTTGTGTTATTAATATGTTGGAAGGGTCATATGATGATCATAAGCATAGTTCAGATGATTTATCTGTGATTATATTTAGTTTTAGTCTTTCGCTCCTATCTGATGACCCTTGTCATTATGCTTTAAATCTTAATTTTTAGGTTTTAGATTGGTCTATGTTCTTACTACTACTCTTGTCTGATTTGGTTTTGTCATCTTTTATTTAGATTTTGTTACTTGAATTTACGGGACTTTACGTCTGCCCCTTTAGCAGTGATTCCGAGTGCTTTAGGGATGAACATGTCCCTAACATTCAATTCATCCATCCTTTTCACTTTGTCAGCTCTTTTTTCTGTTTCTTGCTGATCATTATAGGGTGGAAAATATAATTTGTCACTGTAGAACTCATTTACTGTAATTGTCAATTTTTAATCAATGCATGCTATCCTGTTGCAATTATAGCCATGCTATGAATTGTCTGTGATGATACCAAACAAGGCTTGTTTCTCTAAACATTCGCAGTGGCCGCCTAAGAGCTTTCGCCTTCGCCAGGCTTGAGAGCTTGTGCTGTATTTATCCTTCCTTGGATGTCTGAGAATATATGTTTTTTGATTCAGCTGTTTTATATAGTTTTTTTTTTACTTTTTATTTTTTGAAATTGTAATTTTCAGTGTAGATTGTTGTGTATTTTGTTTGTGCTTCAAAAACTCGATGATGACATATTCTAAGGCTTGTTTCTCTAAACATTCGCAGTGGCCGCCTAAGAGCTTTCGCCTTCGCCAGGCTAGAGAGCTAATGCTGCTTTTATCCTTCCTTGGATGTCTGAGAGTTTAATTTGTACTGCCGTTTAATTTTTTTTTCTATCTGGTTTTCAGTTCATCTATCTACGAACAGATAAACAAATGTTTTTAACGTCTCTTTAAATTGTACATAAAGTTGTGTGGAATAGTAGTTAAATGTATTATTCAGCATTAAGTGAATATGACATGAACGTGTGATAGGGATGATCGCCAATGATGACAAATTCTAAGGCTTGTTTCTCTAAACATTCGCAGTGGCCGCCGAAGAGTTTTCGCCTTCGCCAGGCTTGAGAACTACTGCAACTTTTATCCTTCCTTGGATGTCTGAGTTCAATTTTAGTGTTTTTGGTTAAAATGAATTTATTTTATCTGTTTTTGTACCGTGTAGTATGTGGAGTACTGATTTTATTGAAATAGAAATTATTTACATAAAATTGTATTGTGTTGTAATCATATATTTCTTCAACCCCGTGTGTGCAAATTACTACAAATCAAGGGACGTTGCTAAATGACGTTGTTAATGGAGTTCCTCAAGGCCGAACATGGCAATTTACGTGCCTTTTTTTATTACTAATTATGTTGAAAGTTTTAAAAGTAATAATTTGAAAATCTGTAGAGTTATTTCTGAAAATTTAAACTAACTTACAAAATAAGTCGAACGAAGTCTCGGGAGACCTACTTTATGTAATTCATAGATTGCTATGTGATATTCGTTTATAGGCATGAAATGTGAATCTCCAAGCTTTTACGTAAATAAATAATCTGACTCTAATTTCTGATTCTCAAGATGTAAATAATCTTACACTCTTTGTAGTCATGATCTAAAAAGACTCTAAGGTTGTGAAATCGAAGACTCCCAATTTGAAAGTCTAGTAAGTAAGTAACAATGTATTATTTTACATGAACAGAAATCTAAAGTTGGACGTCAAATTTAAATTTTAAGACCATAATCAAATTAACTAAAGAATTTGTTAATACTTTCAAGTGTGAGAAAGTAGTGTAATATATATTCATTACGGCTTTGATTTAAATTTTGTAATAAAATTAAATTCTTTTTAAACCGTGTAATATATTCATTATCAATATGTGTGGCTTTGCAAATTGTATCGTTTATGTAAATAAAGAAATATGAGTGTGCACATCATACTGTTCCAAGTATTTTTGTGTTGACTTTTGTTCCCTTTTCCCGGTTTTAGTTTAATATCACCACTTACGCTGTGATTATAATATAGGTTGATTTTTGCTAGCCTTGTGGGAGGATGTGGAACTTCTTGGGTGGCTTATTGTGGTTTTTTGTTGGGCGAGATTAAAGGTTTGTTCTGGGTGTAGGAAATCAATATAAATAAATGGTTGCAACAAGTTGGGTGAATAATTATGTATGAGGCTTGTTGATGGAAGTCAGGTTTAATGATATATTAGAAACAACCTTGGATATTTTATTTGAATATTACAAAAAATCGATCACTAACTAAAAATGAAAAGTAAATACATAGAAAGCTTGGTTGTTAAGTTTGAAATAAATTGTTTTACACCTACATAAATTATGGGGATTTACATAAATGTCTTTTCAACTTAATAACGTCCTATTTCTTTTCGAAGATTGAGACTAACAATACAAAAATTGGTATTACATAATCCACAGCAATGAATGGCAAGTGTGGTCATTGAGAAGGTAGAGCAGTCTCTGCACCCTCCTGCGTGGTTTCAACACTGCAGCTATCCTTAGAAATTGTGCCAGCAATTCTATTTGGTGGCCAATACCGAAATACTGATCTCCCTATGATGTTCTTGGATGGCAGGGGACCCCTAACAAAATCACATTCCATTCACAATATAATTATCAAACATGGAATAGTAAAGATAATGAATGCATCTCAGCATACTTAAAAAACATCATTACCACACATGGGAATCATAGCTGTTATTGCGATTGTCTCCCATCACAAACACGTAATTTTCTGGTACACGCTGCAAAACCAAACATTATTATCAATATTCATCTAAACACAAATGGCCATCTGATACAATCAATCCATTAATTATTATTTCTCTAATTGGATGGTAATAGTAAGTGGAATGAACAGCCTTTAAATCATATAAAAAAACCACCGAATGACCTTTTTGTTTTCAGTATAACACATTTTCTTGACGTTTAAATACACAAACTAGAAAAACCCAAGTATAAACATCAATGCTTTTGCTCTTATTTTAAACTTGAGTTACACTTAAACAGTTGTACAATGCATTACATTTTTGGTAGTTAATTATGTCCTTTCATTCATTCCAATGGAGAACTTGGCATAGAACTACCATGTCGTTCATTTGGGATCAATAGAGGAAGGGAAAACAACAGAACCAAAATATTAAAAGATATAACTTACTGTGGGTTTCATCTCATATGCAGGTGGTTCAAGAATGTAGTCTTCATTCCTCTCAACCCCATTAACTACAAGATGCCCTTTACGGACCTGCAAATAATTCAATTGCTCACATTTCAGACTAAGCTGCAGAATCGAGCACCCCAAGAATCTGGCTTACATTATAAATGACTACTAAATGCTATTCAAGCCGACTTTTAAGTTCCAATTACATGTAACAGTCAGTAGCCACCATCTAACAAACCATACTCCTGAACAAATAGAAAAGAATAAACTTCCCTATAAACCAGAAAGCAAGCGATTGGAAAAGTGAAGCTATGGACAAACAAAAGATAACAGGACTATGAATGTAACATCGTCAAAAGATAATACCATCACAAAATATTAGAGTATCAATGCTCTTCTCAAAAGATCTTACCTCCACAATATCACCTTCCTTTGCAACCACACGCTTTATAAAAACATCGTCATCACTATATCCAACTTCTTGGAGCACAGGAGGGCTTTTGAATATCACTATGTCACTTGCACATGGTTTTCTAAAATAGTAAGAAACCTGAAAACATAATTTACAATTGAGATGCATCATAACAGAAGGTAAGTCCAGTTGAACGTTGATGTCAAAATCAATTTAAAGAGCATAGCTAAATGTTACATGACTTGCCCCACAAGTATCCATGTCTACGGGTGCATTATATTTTGTGAAGTAGTTAAATTCAACATAAACACTTCTCATCAGAACAAATACGTACAAGAGTTAAAAACAAAACTATTATCTGCAAATTTCTAAGTCCGTAAATAATCTGTTTTAGCAAAACAAAGAGAAAGTAGGAATGTACCAAGTACAAAAGTCTAATACCAATCCCCATAACCTTGTATATGTCTAACGACAAGAAATTTTTAGGTTCATGCCTCACAGTTGAAAATTCTACAAAAATTTTCAGAGAATCAACATTTCAATTACCGGCACCCACAAAGATAAGACACTCAAGCATTTCATGAAAAAAATCAGTTAATGGTTTGAAAAGTAGTGTCAAAAAAAAGCAAAGACTTCGACTCATGTTTACAGTACCTTACAGACACCCCACACATTATAGAAAAGCACCAAATTCTTATCATATTCCAACAAATAGCCGAAGTTGTCAGATGAATATGAATCTAACCTACAGTTCTTGAAATACAAACACTATAAATGATAGCAGAAAGTCAGATCAGAGGATGATATGACAATCTATAACAAGGGAAAAGCCATATCCACACATACACAAGATGTTGTCTGGACTGTTTTTTCCTTTTCTTTTTCTGAGTAGTTAATTTCAACATTGAGCGAGTCTCATCGTGTTTCAACTTAATCGTCTCTTCTAAAGTCAAAAGAGTACAATTTCAGAGGATAAAGTGCCCTTGCATTCGTCGTTTAAAAAATTAAATTTGAGTTTGAAATAAAGATCAATTACACGTTTGACAAACTTTGAGTTTAATAACACTTTCAAGTTTAAAGAATTGATTTTTTAAACATTAATGATTAGTACACTTTGAATCCAAAGAGCATTCTCCTTGCTGTTAAAAGTGCCAAATCCGAGGTGAATATCGTCCAAGGTTCAGTTCTAATAGAAAATATACAGCTAATAACAAGTTCATGAACAGTTGAACAACACCCTCTTGAAATTAGAAGGTAAAGGAACAATAAGGCTACCTTTTCAGCAACAATTCTATCGCCAACATCAAATGTAGGGTACATTGACAGCGAGGGAATGTACCTAGGCTCCGCCACGAACGTGCGAAACGCAAGCGAAATTGCGATAGCAGCAAGTACCGTTTTGGCGTCATCAGTAGTGAAATTCAACCACTCCGGCAAAGGCCCTTCTTTTTTCTCCGAGTCCCGGTCCCCCCCACCGTCTCCACCCCCATCTCCGCCGCCGCCGTCGTCGGTCTTGACGACCGCTTTGATGTCCTCGCCGGGATCTCTGAAAGCTCTGCATAAGAAATTACGGCGAGAGAGTGGTGCAAAAGATTGCGTGGAATTGAAAGGGAAATAGATGAAATTGGAGAGGCGGGGATGAGTGAAGTTAGGGTTTTGAAGCGATGGGAGTGAGGGAAAGACGGAGAGAGAAGTCATGTTCTATGGTTGGTTGGTTGTAGTTGGAGTTTGAGATACCAACATCACCGTACAAAGGTAACCAAAACTAAAACTTCATTTTTTTCCAATCATCATGAGACCCTTGATTTGACTTATAAAAGTTGACTAATACGAATTAAATTAGAAGTGGATTAATTTGATTTAATATGAATCACTTTAATCTGGTTCACTTTATAGTGAGTTTGAAATTTTATACTCACTTCAAATTGTTGAGACAGGAGCAATGACTCATTAATCTTAAAAAATATAAAAAAAAAATTGTACATTCTAAATAACTTTAAATTAGAAATGATAATTTTAATATTTTGTAACTAATATTAACCCAATTCAAATATTAAATACATAATTAATATAAATATATTGAAAAAAATTAACTGTTTAAAATATTTTAACTCATTTTCAACAAAAATTCACTTTCTTCGGTTAAATCCGACTTAATCTATAATCAACAACCGGTTCATATATTCTATCATTATGGTACCCCCACTTGTGGTAATGTCTTTTGTCAGACCTCATTAAAAACGTACCCAAACTCTCTCTGAACGGACGCCAGGTGTCAAGCAACGAGAATCCGAAAATCAGATAGTGGAATGCAGGTGTCAGCAGATGAGCGGACGTTTGTTTTAAGCAAAACTGAGTTTTTTGAAAGTTACGTCACACTCTCTCTGCATGCACCTTCTTCTCCAAAACTCTGATCTTTCATTTCTCCTTCTTCTCTCTAAAAAGCTCTCCCTTCTATCTACCAAAACTCACCATTTCTCTACTCCTATCTCCATTCAGGCACCGTAGAAGCACTCCCGGCGTCCAGAGCTTCAGTTTGAACCGGTAAGTTCTTCTGTTCTTAGCCGTTCGTTCTCTGGTACATGCAAACCAAGTACCGATTGCATGTTGTTATCTTGTCTGAACCATTATTGGTTTTTGGTTGTTTGGTTTAGTTTGAAGAATTGTGGAACGTAAGGGTAGAAAGATTTGTAGTCAGACGAACCGTACTTCTGTCTCTAGGACGTTCGTTCACGCTCAGAGGTAAGGGAAGCTTATCTAATTTAATTGCATGTTCGTTTGCACGTTCGTTGATAATGAATGCATGTTGCTGAGTGGTTAAATGTATATAAAGTATGAATGCTGATATGTTTGTTTATATGGAATATGATTAATTAGTATGATATGGATTGTACGAAGTATGAAAATTGATTATGATATGAATTTATAAAGTTACGAAATTTTGTATTAAGAAATGACTTGGAGATAAATGAATCCTGGATATGAAATTTCCCTATGATAGTGTACGTTCGTCATTTAACGATAGTAACCTTTCTTTCATTTGGAAAGAATCCTAGTTGAGGACGAGCGTCTTAGTGTGGTAATACTATGCTTGAGCGTTCGGCCAAGCGTAGTTACATCTGAGTATTCTGTGATAAACTTAAATGTTGTAAATATATGTATTTGTATATTTTAGTTATTCTTAAACACTATTTCGATAAAATCTTATTATATTTATCAAACTTTCTATCATAAGTTAGTAGTGTTCGGTCTCAGACCAAGCGCTCGTGCTGAATATTGCTCGGTCTTACACCAAGCGTTCGGGCTCGCTTCTTTATAATCTATCTGGAGGAAAATAGCGTTCGTCCAACTTCAATAGAATTTCCCTCTACCGTGTTCGGTCATTGACTGGCATTAGGTTTCTTCATGTGAATTCTTCTAAGTATGGTTCTTTAAGCGTCTTGACGTGTCTACATTCATTGGTTCCGGCCTAGAGCCTTAGTACTTGACATGTTCTTTGAGGTGTTTGGTTCGAGCTCACGAGAGTCAGTTCATTTAACCGACTCATGGTGTAAGTAACGTTCGTTCTTGTGACATAGATGTATTCGGTTTCTTCCTCAACCAGACAGTAACCCTCTCGGTCTTATTCTATTCTGAAACGGGAGACTTCTCTGTCTCGTACCAAGTGTCGTCCTCGTTCTGAGTGAGGGTTGAACGTACGGTATTTGATGTCCTTGATAATCCTTGAACAAATATGGAATTTAAACGATTGATAATGAAAGATGAAGAAAATATGAGATGGATGAAATGTTGTGGATTATGTACGAGCGTTCCAGGGAGGAACAACTCATGAATGAATATTGAGATGGTAAAGTATGAATGTGGTTATGCTAAGCTGGCGGTTCATCCTGATGTTCCGTGAGTACTCGTCCTCATGTAGAGGGGAGTAGGTCATGTGTGGGAACGGCAGGAGGTCCTAGTCCTTAGGGTTACTTTGGACAGATAGGACTAACCTCGGGTGGCAGCTGATGAGGGTATTCCAGTTACTACATCACCCGGGTGCACGAATGTCGTAGCTACACAGATTTCATACAGTCTGGACAGTCAGTTTAGTATTAAGCATTGCTTGAAACGTATGATGAAATATATCTTATGTGCTTGAATGTGAGAAATGTATGTTTATACTTGAATTAAATTATATAAGTTTATCCTGTGTTTTCCTGTCCTGTCTTGTTTGGTACGTCCGTCTTTGTCATTGCAATGATCATCCGCGTGGATGTGAGCAGAAGGAGACGAGCTGGTGGAAGAGGCGCTAGAAGAATAAAATTTGGTAGAGGTAGAAGTGAAGACTGAAGAATAGGAAATTCGGTCATTAGTGTAGTCTATTGTAAGGTAGTCGTTTGATCACTTTTCCCCTTTTTAGTTATTTTGACCGTTCTGTATAAATTTTGTAAACCGTTCGGTCAGGTTTGCTTATCTTATACAGTGCATGATCACTCTTTTGTAAGGTCGTTCGGCCGTAATCATACGTTTGTTTTTTTTTTAATATAAAGACTGATCTGAATTATTAATTAATGTGATTATTCTATTATATAGTTTTATACTGTATTTTTGGGATGTCACATTTTTTATATTAGAGATGAAAAATATAATTTTGTCAATGTTTATGTTATAAAATATACATTTTATTTTAAAATATGATGAAATGTCTTTATCGAAATCTTTCTTCCTGTAATAATGACCTATTTATTATAGAAAGCAAAATGTTCGTATGGAAGCATCAAAGAGTGAAAAGAAGAAGAAAGTGTAGAAACAGAGAAGGAAGAGGTTTTGCTCTAACTTGCGAATATGCAGTTCTTCTTCCTTCATCTTCACTCTCACAAGCACCTCCTTTATCTTCTTCATCATACGCTTCAGCAACAAGGATACTGCTTTCAAGGGTGGATTGGTTTATTGCTAGAGGGAAAAAGGAAGAGCAATCAAGAAATCCAAGAACAAGGACACCATTTAAGTAAAATATTCAATTAGTTGTCAAAAGATTGTTATTGTTCATCTACAATTACTCGNTATTCTGAAACGGGAGACTTCTCTGTCTCGTACCAAGTGTCGTCCTCGTTCTGAGTGAGGGTTGAACGTACGGTATTTGATGTCCTTGATAATCCTTGAACAAATATGGAATTTAAACGATTGATAATGAAAGATGAAGAAAATATGAGATGGATGAAATGTTGTGGATTATGTACGAGCGTTCCAGGGAGGAACAACTCATGAATGAATATTGAGATGGTAAAGTATGAATGTGGTTATGCTAAGCTGGCGGTTCATCCTGATGTTCCGTGAGTACTCGTCCTCATGTAGAGGGGAGTAGGTCATGTGTGGGAACGGCAGGAGGTCCTAGTCCTTAGGGTTACTTTGGAAAGATAGGACTAACCTCGGGTGGCAGCTGATGAGAGTATTCCAGTTACTACATCACCCGGGTGCACGAATGTCGTAGCTACACAGATTTCATACAGTCTGGACAGTCAGTTTAGTATTAAGCATTGCTTGAAACGTATGATGAAATATATCTTATGTGCTTGAATGTGAGAAATGTATGTTTATACTTGAATTAAATTATATAAGTTTATCCTGTGTTTTCCTGTCCTGTCTTGTTTGGTACGTCCGTCTTTGTCATTGCAATGATCATCCGAGTGGATGTGAGCAGAAGGAGACGAGCTGGTGGAAGAGGCGCTAGAAGAATAAAATTTGGTAGAGGTAGAAGTGAAGACTGAAGAATAGGAAATTCGGTCATTAGTGTAGTCTATTGTAAGGTAGTCGTTTGATCACTTTTCCCCTTTTTAGTTATTTTGACCGTTCTGTATAAATTTTGTAAACCGTTCGGTCAGGTTTGCTTATCTTATACAGTGCATGATCACTCTTTTGTAAGGTCGTTCGGCCGTAATCATACGTTTGTTTTTTTTTTAATATAAAGACTGATCTGAATTATTAATTAATGTGATTATTCTATTATATAGTTTTATACTGTATTTTTGGGATGTCACATTTTTTATATTAGAGATGAAAAATATAATTTTGTCAATGTTTATGTTATAAAATATACATTTTATTTTAAAATATGATGAAATGTCTTTATCGAAATCTTTCTTCCTGTAATAATGACCTATTTATTATAGAAAGCAAAATGTTCGTATGGAAGCATCAAAGAGTGAAAAGAAGAAGAAAGTGTAGAAACAGAGAAGGAAGAGGTTTTGCTCTAACTTGCGAATATGCAGTTCTTCTTCCTTCATCTTCACTCTCACAAGCACCTCCTTTATCTTCTTCATCATACGCTTCAGCAACAAGGATACTGCTTTCAAGGGTGGATTGGTTTATTGCTAGAGGGAAAAAGGAAGAGCAATCAAGAAATCCAAAAACAAGGACACCATTTAAGTAAAATATTCAATTAGTTGTCAAAAGATTGTTATTGTTCATCTACAATTACTCGAGCTTGATGACATTCATTCACTAACCAAAATAACCAGCTTCTATTGGATGCAGCACCATTTCAAATGGTAGCATATTTGTAAAAGTTTTAACAACAAGTAACTTATGCTTGCTCTTAATTTATCATAAAATAAACTATTTATAACTGTTTTAGTTATAAATAAAATATTACTTCTCACATCCAAGAAATAAAACTATTTTCGTCCTATTTATTGAAAAAAATGTGAAAATTTATTTATTTTTTCTTTTATTTGTTTTTCTTCTTTTCCACAAATCGAGATTTGGCTGTGTCCTC